ACAGAGAGCGGAGACAGAGAAAAACAGTGAGAGAGACAGACAGGCAGTCGAAGAGACAGCAGCACGAGGGATGACGGTAAGGGAGACGGGCAGAGAGAGAGAGAATCAAAGAGGTGATGAAAGAGTGAGACAGGCAGCAAGAGAGAGACGGTGAGGGGGGAGAAACAGAGGGAGGGAGAGACGGGCAGAGAGACAGGTAGCACTAGATGGGCAGAGAGAGAGACAGGTAGCACTAGATGGGCAGAGAGAGACACGTAGCACTAGATGGGCAGAGAGAGAGACAGGCAGTGAGAGAGATAGCAGTAGATGGGCAGAGAGACAGATCACAGATCGCAGTAGATGGGCAGAGAGAGAGACAGGTACCCAGGAAGTCACACAGCTCTGGGTCCAGGGTTCTCAGCAGGATGTTCAGCTGCAGCAGCTGCTGCTTCATGGCCTCCTGAGACTCTTCAAAGTTCTGGTGCTGAGAGAGAAAACATGTCACAAACACAGCCTGTCTCACCTCACCCACAGTGTCCACAGACACCCCACCCCAGAGTGTCCACAGTCCACAGGCACCCACACGACACCGGCGTGGGCTCTCACCACCAGCTCCATGAAGCCAGTCAAGCACCAGAAGGCCTCCACCTCATTCTGAGTGACGAAGAGGATGGGAGACAGCAGGTCGCTCATGCCCTGAACGTACCCTGAGACAGAGGGGGGACAGGGTTAGACTTTCACCCCGCGGGAGACACAGTGACCCCTACCAGGCCCCGTCTCCGCCTCTCACCCAGGTCGAAGTTGTACATGCAGTAGGTCATCAAGACATCGTGCAGCAGGGTCAGTCCAGGGTTCTCACTACCAGAGAAGAACGGATTATTCCTGTCTGTGCGATTGACATCACGCTCTGGAGAGAGAGAGAGGGGTTAATACAGACAGACTGACTGGATACTCCAGTACATTAACACTGCACTGAGAGAGAGAGGGGTTCATACAGACACACTGACTGGACACTCCAGTACATTAACACTGTACTGAGAGAGAGAGAGGGGTTCATACTGACACACTGACTGGACACTCCAGTACATTAACACTGTACTGAGAGAGAGAGAGGGGTT